GAGAATCCTGTGATACCAAAACAAATATGCAGAAGTAGAACACGCTCCTGCCACATCGATACTGATTTTCCCAGTGTTTTCCAGTGTTATCATCCAACTTTTATGAAGGAAAAATACAGTTTTTCACAGTACAGCTCTGTAAGAAGTGGGGAGCAGGTACAGTTGCCGGTGAAACAAGGATTAACCAGCAAAACTATTTATAAATTATTTATCTATAAGGCTTCTTACTCACCCTGCCTGCAATCCAGTCTCCAAACCACAGCAGCCGGAGCAGCCTCCCATAACGAAGCAGTAGAAAAGTGTCCGGGAGACTGACGGCAGGTGGCAACAGGAGACCAGAAATGCAAGACGCACAGTCCTCCTCCTCCTCCTCGGGTAAGCTTTTGAGCAGGAAAAAGCACAGACAGGGATTTCCTTCTGAAGTGCGCAGAGCCAGTGCTGTATATGGAAAATGAATGAGGATGCCTGGCTGCCCTCCGGTGAGGATGGGGCTGGGGGATGAGGCCCAGCCTCTGTCCCCGGGGGGAAGCTTTGTGTGGCTCAAAGCATTGCAGGGCACTCGCTGCCTCTCCTCGGTGGGGACCCCCCACCTGGCTGCACCCCAGGGTGAACCCCTCCTGCCAGTGGCCCCACACCCGAGTCCCTGCCGGGGTGAAGCAGCACCGGCTGCCCATCAGGTCACCCCTTCCTGGGCTCCCTGCGTTGGACACGACTCCGAAACGCACCTCCCTCTCCCATGCTGCCTCTCAGAAGGCAGCCTTTGCCTGAGATGGGCTTTGAACTACAAACCAGCTACCAAGGGTACAGAAGACTCAAAACCAGACCCTTCAACCCTGCCTCAGAGCCTCCTGCCCTGGCAATGCCCGTGCCCCACCGCAGGCTGTGCCCTGGGTCAGCACATGGTGACACAATCTGGGGACACAGGCACCTGCGAGCAAATGCCACAGTCTGTAACTGCTGCTCCTGTTTTGGCAGCACGCCTTCCCCTCGACATCTCCTGCCCTGCAGGCTGAATCCAAGGCTCTCCCCACTCCCAGGTCCAGCTTGGGCTTCACATGGCTGCTGTGCTTCCTCCTGGACCACTGTGCCCCCCATATGACAGGGGAGACGGCATTGGCCCCAGCACTAACCCCATGTGGGGTTTCCTAGGAGGTGCAGGGCCCCTTCCCGGGGGGCTCAGAGCAGTGAACCAGCTTCAAGCTTCTGGAAGGCACCTGGCAACCCAAGACATCCTTGGGATATGGTGGATAAACATCATACCCTGGCAGCTGGGGCATCTCTGGAGCGATGCCAGGAGTGAGCATTATCCAGCAGGCAAAGGTTTTGCTTTCCAGCAGTACCTGTCATATGGATGCAACCACCTCAGGGAACAGGCTGGAAGAGGCTGCCAGCATCCACCAGCTCACCCAGCCATAGGGATCCTTGGGTATCCCAGACTCTCTGGGAAAGACAGGAGGTGGGAGGCTGTGCGCTGGCACCCCGGGCAGGAGCTGAACAGGAGCAGCCCCCGTGGGCACAGCCCCTTCCTACGGGTGCTTGTTTTCCGCCTGTGCAGCCAAGATGTGAGCAGAGACACACGCACAGCTCTTGGACGGGTGTTGCTGGGACTGATGGTGGGCTGGGGTCTTCTGACCCCAGGTCAGCCCCACTGGGGCACACAGAGAATGGCCAAGCAAACAGCCAGGGTCAACCACTCACCCAGGAGAGTCGGACCAGATACCTGCATGGGATGTGTTGGAGAGAAAGTGTTCGGTGCTGACACAGGAACATGTGCGTGCTGGGCTGTCAGAGCCACACATTCCCCAGAGCTCCCCAAAACCCTTCCAAAGTGTTTCATTAATGCAAACACCTGCTGACACCCAACAACAAACCTTCAAGTGTTTTGCAATAGGGTACACTATTGAACACTTGTACCAAGATGGGAAAGGTGGGACGGCAGCACGTCCAGCCGCACACAGCTCCTCCGCCTGACCCAGTGCCGCCGGGTCCCCTGCCTTACCCCGCACCCCACAAAGCAGCAGCACTGGGCAGCCCCGGCACCAGAGAGCCACCGCCTCAGCCAAGGCAGGGCTGGGCTTTAATAAACACCACAAAGGTATTTCTGAAGAGCTGAACTGTGTCAAAAAGCAACAAATCAGCAGAAGGAGAAGGCAGCACTGCTACAGCCTCAAAAAGCAAAGGTGGTTTCTGAGTAGCACTCCAGAGGCTGTATAGACAGCCCAGCAAAGCGACAAGCACGGCACAAGAAAACCTCCAAAAGAGGCTCCAAATGACTCTGGCTCATTTAATATGTTAGGGTTTTCCATATTTTTATTATTGTCTATATTGTTTTTTACTATCACTGGATGAGATCACGTTTAGAGATCTGACTGCACTGGATGCTACGCCAGCACAGGAGACTCTTCTCACCACATTTTCACATGGCTATCATGCTTTTCTTTCTTCCTGCTACCTCTTGTTCAACTAACTGTTCCTGCAAGGCAGGTAATCACTATTACAGCCCTACCCCTGGCTGCAGGTGGAGCAACAAACCCACAGGGAGCTCCAAGCAGAAGCCGGTGGAGCGCTGGGATGCTGGACTGCTCCTGCCCCCATGACGAAGCATTTTCATCCGGGCGGGCTGAGATGGCCTCGGTGGGATGCTGGGGCACGTCCTGAGGGCTTAGCCCAGCAGTGATGTTTGTCAGAACTAAGAAGAAAAGGTATAGGAAGAAAAAAAAGTTCCTTCCCTTGTTTGCCTACATTTTCATTCCATGAAAGAATGACACCATGGTGCTCCTTTAACACAATGGCCCCATTGCACAGCAATTCTGATTTCTGAGATGACCCCAAGCCCCGTTCATGTTCAGCCATAGCAATGCCTCCCCCAGGCCACCCGGTGCCAACATTGCTGGGCTGAAACCGCAGTGGCCCTGGAGGAGGGCAGTCCTGGTGGGATACGAGACACCCCGTTCATCCGTATGAACCTTTTACCTCAGGTTTAACTGGAGCAGGAAAGACGTATCAGCCAAAAATATAAAGTCATTGGCAAGCAAACAAGTGGTCATCAACATAATGAGTATAACCCCACGGTACAATCACAGCATAAAGGTTAAATATACACACATGATTACGTACTGTAAAGTCGCTGGGTCAGATTTCACCAGGTTCAGCGTGCGCCTTTCAGAGAAAGGTGGAGAAAAGGAAAGGCCTCACCAGCCTCCAGCTTTACACAGCTATGGAAAACACCATGGGAATGACAAGAGAAATGAGTGTGCAATGAACTGAAAAGGTCACGATAAAACTACCTGCGACAAAGAAAACATAACCCTCTCCATCAGTTACATGCGTCGAGCAGGACAAGTTCAGTATCACCAAAAAAAAGGAAATTTTTAACTTTAAAGCAGCCCCTAGCTCTACCTGGAGAACAGCCTGCTAGTCATTCCACCCCCAAAATACCACCTCACTTACCTGCCCCCCAATCCACTGGGATCCTTTTTCAGATGCAAACAGTTGCAACTGAATTTTAAATATTGGCTTTGACTTTCTATAGAAAGTGCAAAATAATTACCTTTTCTAGCGTGCCCAGGAAAAATCAGCATATACTTCATGTAAATCAACATTATTTTACTTTAATTCACCTTTTAATACTTTACTTTTATACTTTATTGACCTTGGTAAACATATATTATTCATTTCCAGAGAGCAATTCTATATTTCATTACTATAAAAATTATTATTTTTGCTGCAGATACAGAAGTTGCCCATGAGATCGTGATTTCAGACACCCTGTGTGGCTTGGAGAGGGGTCAGTTAATCACTGCCTCTTCCAACAGGGACCTGGGCTGACCAAATGCAGCTTGCTCCGAACGGGCAGCGCACCTGCCTGACACCAGAGCAGGAACGGCCCTTCTGGCCTCCCCACCACACCTCCCCCTGTGCAAGCCCCAAGACAAGACCTATGACAAAACCTTCCTCCTCCAGGGCAGGTTTAGGTTGGACATTAGGAAAAATTTCTTCCCCGAAAGGGTTGTCAAGCACTGGAAGGGGCTGCCCAGGGAAGGGGTCGAGTCCCCATACCTGGAGGGATTTAAAAGCCGGGCAGACGAGGTGCTTAGGGCCAGGGTTTAGTGGTGGGATGGCAGGGGTAGGGGAATGGTTGGGCTTGGTGATCTTAAAGGGCTTTTCCAACCTAAACGATTCCATGATCTTCAGCAGCGACCTCAGCCATCAGTCTCTGCTCAGGAGCCTCCGTCACCTCCTTGCCATCCCAGGATGGCTCTGCAAAGGGGAGGCGGAGAAAGCATCTCCATCACGGGTCAAACACAGCAGCCGACTGCTTGAACCCTCCCAAGAGCCAGCTGGCGGTTTGCAGAAATTGTGCTCCTCACCCTTCATTCCAGGACATAATTAAGCAGCAAATATCAAACCTCCAGGACGTGCCGTGCGGGTGTCACAGCATCGTGACATGACCTTACACAGAGCTGTGGATCCAGCCGAAGGCTGCAATCTCTAGAGAGCAAACGGGCAAAATTAGCCTCAAGCTGCCAAGAGGGGTTTTCGGGGAAAGACAGCGCAGCGGACAGCACAGTGCATGGGGGGAGGCAGTGATTTGGAGGAGGAGGGG